TCTTTCTTTCCCTCCTTATTTCCTTCTCTCTTTCTTTCTTTCCCTCCTTATTTCCTTCTCTCTTTCTTTCTTTCCCTCCTTATTTCCTTCTCTCTTTCTTTCTTTCCCTCCTTATTTCCTTCTCTCTTTCTTTCTTTCCCTCCTTATTTCCTTCTCTCCTTCTTTCTTTCCTTCTTCTTTCCTTCTCTTTCTTTCTTTCTTTCTTTCCCTCCCTTTTTCCTTCTCTCTTTTTTCTTTCTTTCTTTCTCAGAGCTATCAATCCATAGCTAGCAATCCAAAACAGTCCAGTGGCACCTTTAAAATCAAGGTTTATTTAGGTACAATCTCTCCCTCCTCTGTGAGGACAGATCTGCGCTGTCAGGGGTGTGGCCTAATATGCTAATGAGTTTCTGCTGTTGGGTGTGGCCTATTCTGCTAATGAGTTCCTGCTGTGCTTTTTCTACAAAAAAGCCCTGAAAACCTGTTTCCTTACATACAGGTGGCTTTACTTTTAAAAGTACTATATATATAGCACAGTTTTAAACAGTTACATGCTTCTAAACTCATTGACATCAAGAGTGTAACACAACTTTGTACTGTACTGACAGGGATGAAGATGCTGATGATACTGGCATATGTTAAAGCTATTATGCTCTGTATTATTAAAACTAAATCACATGACCAATGCCCACGCTGTAGTCACTTGAAAATCAAACAGGAGTTGTTTCCCTCCTTAGCTTCAGTTACATTTTTCCCTGAAGCTGCCACTACACACAACACTACCCTTTTAGGTTGCCCTTTTAAATGCCCATTTAAAAAGTACTTGCAGGGGCCTACACAAAACTTAATTGTTTATGGTTTTACGGAATCATTTGACTCAGCTGTCAGCCACTCATGTTATTCAGCACTGCTAACTGAAGCATTCCACTCTCTTCTGATCATGGTGTGTTGGAATAGGAATGTCTTACTCAGTGATGGTGATCAGGTCTGAATTCATAAAATCATTCAGCAGAGAGGGACCTCTCATCCTATGCTTTTCCCCACAAATCAAAAATAAGAGCACAGCAGAGATAGGGCCTGGAATGTTTACAGCATGATCCTGGGTATGTTTATTCAGATTTAAGTCCCACTGAGTTCAATGGGCCTCAGCGTTCATAGGATTTCAGTCAAGCAGTCCATGTTTACTTGAGAGTAAATCCTTTGATGTTCAATGGGACCGCTGAGCAAGTAAGGTTACATAAGGATTGACCTCTCACATGTTAAAGATTATTTTTAGGCTTTTCTTTTTTTCTGTCCCTGTCAAGATATCGTTAGGAAGTTCCCCTTCCAAGATTTGCATGGCAGTGACCTGATTTACCCAAAACATATTTATAAAGCATTATAAAACAGATATCTGTTTATCCACATAAGTTTTAGATGCAGGTTATAGAGTCAAAGGCATCATTGACTTGTGAGTGAAGGAGAAACTCCTTCTCTAGGGACATGAACTTTTCTGTGTCATATGCAGAATTAGAGAATAAGTTTTGTTCTTAGCAGGGAATCTCCTTACTAGTAGTAGTTGACGTGAGGATAGCATGGCCTAGTCCTCCTCCTCTAGCAGACCACTGTTGTCTGTATAGCAAGATTAGCAGGGTACAATTTTTTACCTTTTCGTTTCTTAATTGTGGATAGATCCAAACAGTTTTATAAGTTCATGCTCAGATGCTCTTGGGCTGTGGACACACGTGCCAGTTGAAGTGGAGGGGAAGTGAGGCTATTCCCCCCAGAGTAATTCGACCCGCAGTTGCAAGATCACACCTCCCTTCAGAGCTGGGGGCTTCGCCTGTCACTGTGTGATCAGACATAACTGTGGGTGAGTCGGAGTTTTTTGCCGTTCGTTTCCCATGCTCATAAACCAGGAATCATACCTCTGCACTAAGGGCCCCCAGTGGATATGCGATGATGGGCATATTGCGAAGAGGGGAGGGGAGGCACTGAGCCAGGATGGCCTGATCAGACCATCCCAACGGCATGCAGGCATGCTTGCGCAATCAGACAGGGGAAAGTCTGTCCGTGGCCCGTCGCAACCCATTTACTACCTGATTTTCTCTGGTGTCTTTTTACTCCGCTTCTGCGGCAGAGCAGCATGGGTTGCCAACGACTGCAAGATACTTCCCAGATGTTGCTGTCTGATCGCGCCCTTTAGCTCCACTGGGCATTTGTGATTATGTCGGATCTACTGACGCATGTGTTCACAGCCTTGGTTTATCTGGGGAATCAAAGGTATCTCTCTCTCCTGGCCCAATTAATTTCTGCTCAAGACCCAATGAGAGAGGACTTTCTGTTCAAATCGTCATGTCCACAGCCAGCAAAAAGATTCACAAGAAAGAACAAAATTTTATTTCAGTGATTGATTCTAGGAAGAAAGAGAACCAAGGTGTAATACGGGCTAAAATCCTACAACTCAACAGTAAGATGCTGCTGCTGCTATTTGATCATTAGCACAGAAAAAGGAGCACTTTCGGTGATAGTTACTTGAAGATTTATTTTATGCATACTGGATCTTTATGGCTATAAATTGTTCAAAATACATTTACCACAGGGAGATACTGAGTGTTGCTGCAATATAAATTATGAGGTACATTTTATTAAGTATATTATGAAGTCTTTTAATACTAAGCAGTATAAATTTCAAATATGATGTTTCAGTGTATGTGTTACATCTTTGAAAAACCTAATTTCCAAAATGATGGTGCTAATACTAAAATTTGTAAAACTGTATTTCTTAAATTTTGTTTTTCAGGGAGATAATTTAGTCACTGAATGTCATTACAGTACCATGAATCGATCACATATGACTTGGGTAAGAAATTACAAATTGGCTTGAGGAGGAACGAAAATGACTCCAAGTGTTAGCTGCAAACCCTATTTTGAGATTTAAAATAGTTAGACATTATTGAGAATTGGCATCAAGATTGGTCGGTTTTGTAAAGCTGATTTCTGAGTCTGGAGAAACTGCCTATCCCCACAAGGGAGACTGTTCTGAGCCATTTTGAGTCTCTGTTGGAGGGAGAAAAGTAGGGCATAAATCAAGCAGGATTAATGGTCTGCCTGTATATTTTCATTTGATTTAAGAACTTTTTTAGGCCCCGGTCACACGGGCCGGATATCGCGGGGGGAGGCGTGGCTAATTGCCCCGGCGCAGTTTGATGCACGATTACGTGATCAGACGCACCGGCAGCACACCACGGGTCCTTCCCTTGGCACCAGTGGGTAAACAAGGAACCGGAGGGGAATGCTGTGCTTCGGTGCAATCACACCACTGGCGTCTGGAGGCAGCCCGTGGCAAACGTTTACCAGTACCTTGAAGGTACTAGTTTTTTAACTCGCATTGTCGGTGGTAAGCCACGGGTGCGCTCCACTTCCCAGATGTTAGGGTGTGATCGCACCCAGATAATCTGCCCACCATCCGTGCCTCTCCCGCGGCAACTTTGCCATGTGACCAGGGCCTTAGTTAAATATTTGGTAAAATGTAGTAAGTAAATTAATAGTTTGCAAAGATATGCATAAGACATAAGGTACCTCCTAGAGTAACTACAGATAAACTAATTGAAATAGATTGAAAACATTATAACTGTAAGCTTAGTTTAACAATCTTCTGTTTAGGTTTAAAATTTGACTTTAGGGATGAAGCTACATATTACAAGTAGCTCAGTGGTTATTTTAAGAAGCTATTTTCTTTCCTAAATGCAGCTGCTGGTGCTGCTGTTTCAAAAATGAGACTAGTGTAGGAAGCTGCATTACAACATGGCTGGTTCCCAATACTCTTTTTGCAATTTTTAAAAATGCCACTTCTAAAATAGTGTGGGAAGAAAGGTTCGAATGCACTCTCTCATGTGCTATTCTCCCACCTCAAAAGTAGCAGCCTCCACAGCTGCATTTGAATAAGGCGTGGGGGGAGCAGTTTAAAATAACCATGGAACTTTTCTCCTAGCTGCTTACTAGACTTGCCAGCCTCCAGGTGGAACCTGGTGATCTCCTGGAATTACAAGTGATCTCCAGGCAACAGCGATTAGTTCCCCTGGAGAAAATGGCTGTTTTGGAAGGTGGACTCTATGACATCATACCCCATTGAAGTCCCTCCCCTCCAGGCTCCACCTCCCAAATCTCCAGGTATTTCCCAGCCTGGAGCTGACAACCCTACTGGTTACTGAGGCAACAGTACCGTACAAGAGCTTCCATTTGTAAATCTTGAATCCCCGAAGTCTAGAAAATGGCAGCTGGCCATTCCTTCTTTGATATTGATCCCTTCAGAGGAAGGGAATTCTCCCATTCTTTCTTCCCAACTGAAGAACGGTGAGCTAAAATTTGGCTCCCTTGCCATTTCCCATTCTAGTTATTGAAAGAACAAAGTTAAATACAAAAAGAATTATGACTCTGTGGGTGGTTTGTAAACTTTTTTTATTCGCCAAAATGAACACTTAAAATAAAACGATGTTCTCTAAGTAAATACATCTGCGTTATATCAGATGATACAGCTAGTGACGGTTATGATCTCTTTGGTGCTGGAAGCCTCTTCTGAGGGGAAAAAAACACGAGACTGAGTGCAGCAACTGTATCTTATGCTGCATTTCTCTAGTCCATTATGTGGTATGCTGTCAATAGTAGCAAATGACACTTGAAAACAGCTCAGAGATAACAGTTCTGGGATTTCCCATTTATGAAGTATAGCTTAAGGTAGTCAGTAATGGAAAATCTGTACCATCCTTGGTAATCTTTTACAAAAATGAGCCTCATTCCCAAACGGAATGAGGATCGAAGCAGAGGGCGGGGTAAAGAAGGGGGCGGGGCTTCACCACGTGACAGCCCCGCCCCCTAGAGGTTCTCTTCCGGAGCTCCGTACCTGAGAGCTCCCCCCCGACTTCTTCTACAAAAATGAGTATCAGTTTACATGCGAATATACCTTCATGTCAGCTATAAGCAACTCATTGAATCCCTCTGGCCTTCTTCGCCAGCATTTATGATGTTTTTAGGTTCAGCTACTATGTCATGTGCCTGTGGGATTGGAGCCATGGACTCTAACTCCCATTCTAAGGGCTGAGGTGTTGTAACAAATACAACCTTAGCTATTTTAGCAGTGATTGATTGTAATAACCTCACTTGATCAGGTTTGTTTCCATCTGCTGGTTCTCAGGGCAGGGCTCTCCAGTTCCTAGCCAGTCTTGATTTAAGTTATTCCCTCACACATTCTCTAGCCTTTTCTTTGTGGATACTCGTTTATGGAAGACCCGGTGTCTACCTTGGGACTGATTAATATTTGAAATCCTTCAAAAAAAAATTCAGTTAATAATTCTCTTCGTCTGAATCCCTGTTCATTGACCTGTCTGATGTAGAAGACACTGCCGGAAGCAGTGCAGCTGCTGCTCTCAGGATCGCTGAAACATTCGGCTCCCTCATTACAATCCAGGGAGATTTTGACAGTTGCTAGTTTGTAAAACAAACAGAATGCCGTTGGGATGATGGTAGCAATTGGGGGATTTGTGAGGGCAGGTTTATTTGAGAGTTCATGGAAATTACATCCTCATCCACTGAAAATAGATTCAGATGGGTAGCCGTGTTGGTCTGAAGCAACAGAACAAAATTTGAGTCCGGTGATACCTTTAAGACCAGCAGAATTTAATTCTGAGAATACAGCCTCATAGTAGCTGTGGGAAATGGCTTCTAAAAGAAGGCGAGCCCATATGGGCTTGGAACAGCACCACGAGGGAAGGATGGGCTCCTGCCTCCTTCCGAGCCACTTTCCCATGCAAAAACTGAACTGGAGGGAATTATTTCCATGATTTTGCTACTCCATGTGGAATATCTGTGCAGTGCCATTCAAAGCCCATTTGAGCTCGCTCGCGCTCTCTCTCTCTCTCTCTCTCTCTCTCTCTCTCTCTCTCTCTCTCTCTCTCTCTTTTAGAAGCCATTCCCCATAGCGGATGTATTGCTACAGGGAACACAAACTGGGTTCGGGGAATCAAGGACCCAACTCTTTAAAAATTGTAACATCTTGTTTCGCTCTTCGTTGATGCTCTTTACATTTATATGCACATTTCTTCACAGCAGCAGTGGTAGAAATGGCCAGGAGGGATACATAGAGATCATGAATGGAATTTTCTGATCATATCAGCTTGCATCTTACCACTCTGCTGCTCATCAAAGTTTGAAACTTTCTTCTAAGCGCTACTTCCATTAGAGGAAGGCTTCAGACTTTGCTGAGTGATGTAGTAGGACACAAACCATTAGGTCTTCTTAGGCCACGGTCAGACGTGCCTTTAAATCTCACTCAGCTGTGAATGCCTGACAGATCTAAAGGGCATGATCAGACAGCAACATCTGGGAAAGGTCCTGCAGCCATCGGCACCCCGTGCTGCCCCGCCACAGAAACAGAGTTAAAAGACTCCGGGGAAAGTCTGGTCCTAACACTTGCTGACGGGCCACAGATGGACTTTCCCCTGTCTGATTGCTCAAGCACTATCTCATGCCATCAGGATGGTCTGCACATTCCATCCCAACTCAGTGCCGTTTTCCCCCCTCGCTTAGCAGTATGCACGTCACTCCATACTCCATGGGGAACTCTCAGTGTGGAGGTGCAATTCCTCATTTATGCGCATAGGAAACAAAAGGCACAACCCCCCCCCCACTAGGCTGAATGTGCCATCTGATTGGGGAGTGATGGGCTGAGCCCACAGATACAAAGCATGCGTGATCACGCAATGCCGTGTCAATTTCAACCAGGGGAAATAGGCTCACTTCCCCTTTGCACCAAGTGGCACATCTGACTGCAGCCTTAGAATTCTTATGAGGAGGTTGACATTGGGAAAGAAGGGAATTCCTTGCAGAAAGGTAAAGCTGAAATAACTTTTCATTTAAATGTGCCATTTAGCATATATTGTAAATAATTCATCTCTTGATTCTGTAATTTCACAACATGCCAGGAAATGTCATAGCTATAGCTTTGCTTGCCACCGCTGCTCTGTATATTGTCTACATTTTAAGATTTTTTTTGTAATTATTTTATTTATTTATATATTTTTCCAATTTACACTCCACCCTACCCCGCCAAGGCAGGCTTTATTGAGAATAAACTGACCAATCCTAGGGAACATTCCATATTTCTCCTCCAGCTAATGCACATGAGAAATTCTGGGACTAAGATTAATCATCTTTTTACAATTTCAGGGTGGTTTTAGCACCAGAAATGAAATGTGCCTGTCCTATCTTCTGTATTATCCAAGAATAAATCTCACCAGATGCGCAAGCATTCCAGACATCATGGAACAACTTCAGTTTATTGGCGTGAAAGAAATATATAGACCAGTGAGGTAAGTGGGATAGATGTAATGCCTGGGGTACATGATGCTCTGGTGCTAAAAAGCTAGTATGTCATTGCATGTCAATGGTCAGCCACTGCGGTCCTTGCATATTACTTATAAGTTGCATTTCTATTAAGCAGTAGGGATGGGCATGAACCAGGAAGATGGTGGTTTGTAGTGGTTCATGGTTCATTTGATTACA